ATTTTTTACACCAAAATAATTTAGGTGAGCTTTAAATGTTTTTAGAGGGCGCTGGAGCCCCCCTAAAATAGGCCCAGTGACGCCACTGCGTATTTGTACGGAAAAGTGCTTTTAAAACTTGTTTTCTTTAAAAACGTCATTTCCCATAATGCAACGTCACTTTTACGGATGTGATGTAGCGTAACATCCGCCTCTGTCAAGGGCATCGGAAAACTGTGGCTTGTCAGCCGCCGGCCRGCACGTGCAGTAGTAACAAACGTAGATTTTTAGCAGAACCTCGGGAGACATGGACGGGTTTGGTTCCGATTTTTCAGCAGGAGGTGCTGGCGGGAAAGTGGACGCCGGAGCCTTAATGGAACAGGTTAAGGTCCAAATCGCGGTGGCTAACGCACAGGAGCTGTTGCAGGTAAATCAATGGACGTAAAAGGCTAAGCTAACGCTAAGCTAAAGGTGTCTTCTGAGTGAGTGAGTGCAAGCTTAAGGGTCCTTTTTTAAAAGTTTTACATTTAGTAAATAMATTTTATTGATCTTGTCATCTAGTTTAAATGGTATGTTGAGTCGTTCTGAGTTGCTGGTGTAATAATCTACTATAATCTGTTCTTCTAGAAAATGACGGATAAATGCTTCAAGAAGTGCATAGGCAAACCTGGGAGCTCACTGGACAACTCAGAGCAGGTGTGTTTACGATTTTAATACTTTGGAAATGCAGTTATTGTTTTGTAATAAGCAAAACATCAGTTGTCTGGTGTAGTAATAATGGAAATTTTCACCTAGTTTTGTTTTCTTTACTAAAAGTTATTTTTTGAGATTGATACATTTCTTCACCTTGTTTCCACAGAAATGTATTGCCATGTGTATGGACAGATATATGGATGCCTGGAACACCGTSTCCCGAACGTACAACTCCAGGTTGCAGAGGGAAAGAGCTCGCATGTGACCAATCTGTGATTTGTTTTTTCATCCTTTTTTTGAACTGCTGATAAGAAAACAGACCAGCACAGATCACTGCTGGAGGTCCACATGGGTGTTCAACAGCAGCAGCAGCAGCAGCACATCAAATCTGTCATGAAATCTCAGACAGACAAGCAGGCGGACGAGGCCTGTGGACTCCTAGCTATAACAGAGTCTGTAGACATTTTTTTCCTCTGACATCATGTCACAGATCACCAATAAAATTTATAATGTGTCTGTTATACACGCAGTAACTCACCTTCTGCATTTTTAAGGCATAGCATGATAAAATTCCCAAATATTGAAGTGTGTGAATAATAATCAAGTTTGACAGAAACACTTTATACACATTGTGATGTTTATGACTTTAAGCTGATATTAAAATGTCTGCCCATAACCTAACCAGAATCTTTATTAGCTGTCCAGTAGCATCTCTTAAGGGGTAAAACGCATCTATTTATATCTGCTTCTGAGAATTTTTCCTGTAAAAATTCTGCCTGTAAGCCTTTAAAATTTCAAAGATGTAATTTTAACAACTACCTGATTTAGTTTTTGAAACGAAGTCCCACCTGTCTACATGTTACCTGCCTGTTGGACTCTCAGTAGCTCAAACACTCAAATATTTGACTTTAATGTAATCAAACAGTCATTAAAGTGCCTGTGACATAAAATTTTTGCAATAAATACGAATGCAATTTTGGAAATATTTTATCGACAACATTGCAAGAAAAAATTTCGTGCCGCTGAGATGAACAGTTTTTGAGATGTTCACGTGTGCAGTGACAGGAAGTGATGTCAGAGGGGAATGTCAACATGTAAACAGCATTAGTATAACAGAGCACAGACTAGAGAAAAATCTCGTTTCTTCAGGTTATTTTAAAACACCATCAGAGAAATTGTCAGAATTCAAGTATTTCAGTAAAATACATGAAGGCAGTTTTTTTTATTAGAGTTCCCCTTTGATGTCACTTCCTGTTTCACTTTGGCTGAACCAAGTTCAAAAGAAAATATGCCAGTTATGTGACAAAATTATTAAAATCATTTATTCTGCCAAGTTTCTGAAATAAAAGGTGTTTTGACTTTTTGTTTTTGAATGATATAAATGTCACAGGCACTTTAAAGTACTTATCTGTTGTCTGAATCATTTAAACAACTTTACTCACATCCTGTAAAATCTAACAAAACACKAAACAGACCTGTTGACAAAGTTCCACTTTAATTTCTTAGGAGGGGATTTCCTTAAAAATCATCAGAAGGGAGCGAGGAGCATGTTGATGTTTTCACAGCTGGGACTCTTGACATTTGCAGCCCTCCGAGCAGCCGATATCAAAGTACAGCTGGAGAACAAAACGTTTGTCTGATATGTTTCCTCTGCGTTACTCAATCTGCTGCCCTCCACAGAGGTGGGCTTGTTTCAGCAGGGGTCTGCGTCACTCTGCAGCACCTCTTCCCAACTCTACGTGAGCAGGTGTCAGATGGATGGCGACTGTGCTTTTGGAGTGTTGCAAAGTTTGAGCGGAAGAAACCAGTGAATGTCATACGCATAACTAAACAAAACATACTTTAATGATTAAATCAATAAATCTGGTCAGACGGGACAAAAACTGCATTCATCAAGCTCAAACTAACTGAACGAGACGTCACATTTCCCCAAAGAAAAGCCATAATTCGTTCCAATTATTACATCTTTTTTTAAAGAACAGATTCTAAAAAGACAAAATGTACCCACTAATAAGACAAAACCTTGTTTATTCACGTTAAAAAACACTTTGCTGCTGTGGCCTATCTGGTTATGTACACTTTCTTTGCAGTGTGATCAGAATTTAAAAGAATGGAGTTCTCTGTGACCTTTATATCCTTTAAAACATACCTGAGACATTTTGTATGGCATGCTGAGGTGCACTGTCCTGAAGGACACTTCTGCTCTGTAACAATCTTTATTATCTTTATTAATGTCAGGATGGAAGCAATCCCAGCAGAAAAATGGCACTGAAATGAGATTATCACTGGTAAAATGTTGCAGCTGATTGGTGRGTGACTTAAAACACAAGTATCAAAATAAAAGAGAATACCATAACCAATATTTTTACCCATAAGAGAAATAAATAACTAATAAATACTTGCATTCATGCATGTGTTGGTAGAAAGTCCATCACCAACAGCTCATGATTAGTTCCTCAGTACTTATTAAAGGAGGATGGCCTTAAATCAGATCATTGCACAGCATTACAGGAGCACCCATGACCACACAGGTCAGTACAGTTAACTGAGTGTTTGTGTGTTTTCTGTATAACTTTGGTCCATGTACAGTACAAGTACAGATTTTTTTTTACGTATCCACAAGTTTTTTATTTTCTGTGGGCAGAATAGCCTTTTGTTTTCCAGACTTTTATTTTTCAAAAGGTAGGTGTGTAGAAATCCAGTTTCTAATTGACGTCACACGAATGTAAACCCCTGGAAAGCCGGTTCGTCCACATCCATAACCCCAGCTGGTCACCCCAGCAACAAACCACTGACCCGAGAGGTGCCGACACGTCAGAGGACCGCCAGAATCTCCCTGGGTGATCAGAAAAAAAGAGAGGAAAACTGGAAAAATTAACATTTTCTGCAAAAACACAGTGAATACTGAATGACTGCTAAAAATGACTACAAATTTTAATTAAAAAAAAAAGGAGTAAAACCAAAAAGCTAACAGGGTCAACTTAGCAAAACTATATCTAAAAGCTAATAATGCAAAATACTACAATTAGGAAAACCAAAAGGATTTATGAAACTGTAGCAAAATGCTAAAATGATCAAACAAGTAGCAACTAAAAGTTATAATGAGCCAAACAATAGCTAAAAGCTTAACTTAGCTAACTGTAGTTAAAAAATTACAATTAGCAAAACAACAGCCAAAAGCAAATAATAGCAAAACAGTTGCTTTTTGATGAACAAAAAGGATAAAATTAACTAAAATGTAGCTAAAAGCTAAAATAAGCAACATCATAGCTTAACGGAAAATTTTGCTAAACTGTAGCAAAAAGATAAAATACCAAAAATGTAGCAAAATGTTACAACTAATAAAACCATAGTCAAAATTTAAATTGATAAAATTATTGCTAAAGTTGAAATTAGCGAACAATAGCTAAAACTGTTAACTTTGCTTAAGTGTAGCTAAAAACTACAATTAGCAAAGCAACAGCCAAAAGCAAAAAAATAAATAAAATAAAATAAAAAGCAAAATGGTTGCTATTTGATAAATACTAAAATTAACTAAACTGTAGCTAACAAAACCATAGCTGTAAGCAAAATGTACCCAAACTGTGGCTAAATGTTCAAATTATCTAATGAGTAGCAAAAAACTCAACTTAGTTAAATTGTACAATTACAACAATAGTTAAAAGCAAAGAATGAGCAACAGTTGCTACATGATAAACATAGATAGGACCAAAATGAAGTGATTTAAAATGAGCATATTATAATAATAGAGCAGGTATGCTGAAGGAGATTTCGAAAAATGTTTCTAAAAGAATTGTAGAGATCACAATGTCTTTAAATGGCAAAATGTTTGTAAATAAATTTAAATAATTCAAGTATGTAATGTAAATGTTAAAAATGCTTATAATAATAAAGAAAATGTGAATGACCAAACAAAGTGATGCAGGAGTTTGGAAAAAAGTCACAAAAGAGCTGACTGTTCACACAATTTAAACCTTTTTAGGTCTTTAACAAATGAAATTGAAGAAAATGTAAACTTTTGTTTAAAGATTTATCTAACACATGACCCAACTTTACAGTACTACTGAGAACCGATAGTCGTGTTCCTCAGACAGGAGCACAGCTTKAGACAGAAAAATAATGTATCTTACCAGACACGAGTCCTTTCCTCCCTCCATAAAGCCAGCACACATCATGTTGGGAGTCAGCACGCTTCCATACGACTGCTGACAGGCTACCTGGTCAATAACGCTCACTGCAGCTTTCTGCAGCAGGTTTGTCAATGAACCTGTGAAAACAGCCTTCTGGTTTGGCACTGACCAAGGACACCTCTACTTCAGCAGATACAACATGTCATTTGAGTGATTCTCTTGGAAACCTGGACGCAGTTTCATCGCTCACCTCCTTCTTTCATAGACCCCCACCCTGCGATGAAGCACTCTGCGGTCCTCGGGAAGCGATGCACCGGTGAGGGGAGACACACTGGCTGGATGGTGTAGGACATCGGGGCCGGGACCGACAGCTCCAGAAGGGCCACATCGTGGTTCATGTTGGTGCCGTTGAAAGCCGGGTGGATGATCACTCTCTGTATGGGGATGACCACAGCCCCCACCCCGGCTCTTAGCACAGACCCGAGGCTCACAGCCCACTTGCTGGGACTAGGGTCACTGTGGAGGCAGGTCGTGAATAAAAACTGTCACAGAAGCGTCACACAGTGTAATCAAACTGATGTTTTTCAGGTAAATATTGACACCTATTGACACAGTGAGCTGCAGTCAGTAACCACTTGTTGTGAATGAGTGTGGCGCCGCAGACGTGGAGTCTCTGGTACTGGAGACTGCCGATCCAGGGCCACTCTCCCCGGCGAGCTGTCACTCCACCTACGATCCTGTGATAACCCAGCGCAGGACGCATACCACAGTCTGAAAAACAAACCAGCCCAGAAGCTCAGAAGCATGTCCATTATCTCCAGTG